GTCGTTAACATGGCACGCAGACTAACAAGAAAATATATAATTGGCACTCCATGTCAAAAAGGTTGCCGACCCCTGATGTAGAGAGTTGTGGGGGACAAGCTGTTTCTCTGCCTGCTGGTGTCTGTAGTGGAGGCCTCTGTACTTCCTTCCAAACGAGGCCAAGCTATGGCACAGAGATGTTCTCTTTGTTTTTGGGTCCATCCCAGTGGCTGCGTGTTGGTCACATGACGCCTAGATGCAGTGTCTCTCCCCAAACAACTCCTGCATTATGTCTGTATGCCCCCCCCTCCTGCACGTGCGAGCGGCAGCCGGGTCGGACCCTCCATCCGGGGTCACGGCTGCCACGTCCTCCCTGTCTCCCGCAGCGACCTCCTGGTGACGGCCGGCGAGGACAGGAAGCTGAAGCTGTGGGACCTCAGGAAGACGTACGAGCCGGCCAACACCTTCAGGCGCTACCTGTCCACCGAGGTCTGCTGGCCGCTGCACTACTCCGGCGTGTGGGTGGCAGAAGAGAGCTGCTACGCCACGTAAGTTGGTTCTCATAAGGCGCCCTTCACCGCGTCCTGTACGTATCCGTGTACGAGTAGCCAGGAATCAACAGAGGACAGCAGAAAAGGCTCTGGGGGTCCATGCCCTTCCAGAACATACTAACCACATGAGTCCAAACAGATGTCCAAAGTGTCAGGAGGCAAAGCCGTGCCCATTACCATGGTATCTGCCTATTGACCAAACTTCAATAAAAAAAAATGTTTGGTAAGATGGTTTTGTGCATTTTAAGTGATTTTGGCCTCATTTCTAGGTACGGACAGCATGGAATCCATTACATCGATTCAGGATACTTGGGGTTCAAGCCATTTTTTGTGGCCCCCAGGAAAGGAACAGTCTGGGTAAGTCATGAACATCCATATATCCGTCCATACATCCTACGTCCTTTTGCAGTACAGCCTCTCCTGGAGCTTTTTCCAGACCACACAGGATGCAGGATGGGCTGCTCCCTCCCAACTACAAGTCACTTAGAGCACAGACCATATATTTCACACAGCATTACAATCTTTGCTCATGTGGTTAAATGTCTCAGTGTCAGTGTCACGGTCTGAATGACGCAGCATGACACCTCCCACCCCCCCCCCCCTTTGTGTGTTTCAGAGCATGTCTTACTCCGACTGGCTCAACACCTGTGTGCTGAGCGACAGCACCGGCGAGATGATCGTGGTCCTGCTGCCCGACACGTCCTTGAACCCGGCCAACCTGAAGCGCACCTCCGACCGGCGATTTGTGCGTGACGTAGCCGCGAGACATGGGGTCCATGCTACCCGACCGCTGTCTGCTGCGGGTCCCCCGCTTACCTCTTTGTCTCTCCCGGGCAGCCAGTACACAGGGCAGAGTTGGTCCCGTTCGGCTCTGAGAAGGAAGACGCGGAAGCGAGGGAGGAAGGGAATGGTGATGCCAGTAACGGGCCAATCAGGGAGCCGCAGACCTACGGGGAGCTCGTCAAGAAGTACTGCCTCCATTTCCACGATATGGACCTGGTGAGTGTCGCTGTCTCGGCCACAGAGGGCTTCTGTAATCCACGTATGGCCGCTTGTCACACACCATTACACATGGCCGGCGAGTTGCAGAGGGACCATGGATATATGAGATTCATTACTCTGCGGACACACCTGAGCGAGCCGTCAGTGTCCGCTGATTGGGGGAGGGGCGGGGTTACTGCCAGAGGTACCGCCTCTCATCATCCGGGCGGCTAGCAGCTAGTGAGGGCTCGTCCCTGGGGTAGATTAACAGCTGCATCCCTCATTAATTAATCTTCCCGCCCACCACCACCCCCCCTCCCCCCCACCATCTGTTCCCATGTGTTCTACCAAAGTAGAACCACTACTGACAGAAACACCCCCCCCCCACACCAATCAGCACCCTGTAGTAGCCCATCACCCAGGACACCATGTCTGGTGACGACTCCGATATCGAGCACCGTAGAGGTGGGCTGGTGAACAGAGAGCGCCAGGCGTGTGTCTTGGCTAAATGATTCCCGCCTCCCCCTGAGTCGTACTGGAAGCGAAACGGAGCAGCTGCTCGAGTGAGGGAGCCAGATTTACCGCCACGCCGTGAGCTGCCGACCGGCCGCCCCAGCGGCAGAACGTAGCCTTCGGGCTGTCAAGGGATCCTGACATTGCGGCCCCTGTCCCTTACCAGAGGACCTTCAAGAACGCGCAGCAGAGGCCATCAGTCAAGCGCATGCTGGCCACAGAGACGAAGGGCCCTATGTCCTTGGACAAGATGCCGCTGGAATCCCTGCACAAGGTCAGTTTACATTCCCCTCTGCACAGGGAGAACAGTCTGTATCCCTCAACACAGTCAAAGTACCGGCATGGCCCTCTGCATAGAACGCTGCATAGTAACGCCACAGTTATTTATTGAATTTATATTATTATTTTATTATTATGCTATTTTACCTTATCTTTTGTCTTGCACTGTCTCGCCTTATTGCACTGCTGTTTGTTCCGCATTGCACTTTTTTTGTTCTGTTGTTTGTGGTTTGTGCATCTGTCCCCTCCCCTGCAACTCAGGTACAAGAATTTCACTGTGTCCCTGGGACACAAACCTGAGATGAAATCCCATTTGGACATTAATTCAACACGATGCTGGGAGAACAGAACAGTACTAGTAACAGTAGTAGCTGACCTGTCTTCTAGCTCGCATCTCCTGCTATTCATTCTTTTATTTTATTTTATTTTGTAATCTATCAGGGGATGAATGGGCTTCAGTTCCCCTCGGGAATCGGGTATCTTTCTCCCCTGGAGTGAGCAGGTAGTCATTGGCCACCTGGGTCATAGAGGTTTTCCATCTGTCCTTCATAATGGAGAACACAGCCCGGATCTCTGATAGCCGGCGATGAAGACAGATAAAGAGTAATGGAGCGTAAAATGAAGAAACGTCACCGCGGGTCATACCGGTGAAAACGTGGGGATGGAAGACTACGCGGAGGGGAAGAGAGAAGCAGGCTCCTTTCTCTTTTCTTCCTCCTATCATCCCCATTTATGGACATGGAGATCCAGGACCGATTACGCCTGCCTCTTCTCTTCATTAGGCATATTTTGCCCTTGTGTCCTGTAATAGTTCATTAGAATTGATTGCAATCTTGATTTAAAAAAAAATTAAAAATTTAAGAGAAAAATAAATTAATTTATCCTGAACCTCTAAGAGATGATCATGGCTGTGTGGAGGGAGATGCTGAGCTGACACTTACGTCTGTAACAAGTACGTCGTCCTACGGTACAACAGGACTGCCCCTCCTGGGATGCTGTGGGATGAGTTCATGACTTTTCTTCTTTCTCTGCCCTGCCGCCACAGGTACGGCTAAACCCCAACCTCAGCGCACAGAGCTGGGTGCTGTCGGCCGGACACGCGGGCCTGGTACGCGCCCACTGCCTGCGCGCCATGCACAGCCCCATCGTCCATAAGATGGCGCAAGAGAGCCAAGCGCAGTTCGCTGCCATGTTTGTGTCCCAGGGAGCCGCGGCCGACGAGAGCGTCGCCACAGCTGTCCGGCACAGCACTGAGACTGTGGTGGAGCTGTTGTGATGTCACGGTAGCCTTGCCCCGCCCCCTCAGACTTTAAAAGACCTGGCAGGAACAGTGCAGATCACAGGAGCTCACCTTCACTGGTCTCCCTGGCTGTTTTTGTATTCGGCAGTCCAGCTTTAGTTTTTATACAGATTTAAATTATTATAAGTGGGGGGCAAAAACACTATTTTGATAAAGCTCTGAATTTTTTTTAAATGCATAATATATATTTTAGCATAAACTTGTTGTTGATTTGTTGATGTAACAGTTCCGGACACATGAAGCTTCACTGAATACCAAAAGTATTTTGTGTTGCATTCATCCTGAAGGCTGACCCATTCACTCCCAGTCTAAATTAAACTGTATCTTTTTTAACTTACACCTGGGTTTAGTTCTGTTGTATTTTTTTTCCTTCCCACTGACTTTAGTTGTATATGAGCAAAATGACCTTTTATGTTGAACTAGCTTTTTGTATATTTGTCGAAGTATGGCAGGAATAACAGCGAGCACCATTAAGGTCTTTCTAATGTGTGCGCTGTGTGTGTGTGTGGGGGGGGGGGGCCTTCTGTAGTTTTCTTGGGTCTTCACCATTTAAGGACTGGCCGTGAGCGTGACACAGCACACGGCCAGTAAAGCCACTATAAAGTCCCAGCAGTGAAGCATCCATCCTGTCACGCCTTCCAGCATTTCCAGGTGCACCAGGCCCCCAGTCACCAGTCTCCATAAGATTTATGCCTGCAATGCTGATCGACCAGTCTTACCTTAAACTGTTTCAGGAATCTCTACCCCTAATTTTTATTTAACCCTTTGCGCTAAGGTTTGTTAATCCACAGCTACATCAGTTGATGACACTTTAACTGAGGGGACAGGAATAACTTAGTAACTCAATTACTATTCAAGTACTAATCATGAGTAAATATGAGGTACATGAACCATGAGTAACTGCGTGAAATACATCAACCGTTACGTTTCATTAGTGATGAATGAACATGGAATCAGTACAAAACTAACACTTAATTTCTGGTTAATATATTAAGAAAGTACTACTGCATAATTAGTGCCCCCTCAGGTAAAGTGTCACCCATCAGTTTATACACTTAAGTGCCCTTTTCCAGTCATATGATGTGATCCAGTGTCTTAACCACTGAACTGCCCAGGTTACTTGACTATTTTAGTACAGGGGTAGTATAAGTGACAATAATTATTATATAATAGTACATTATTATGATTTGCTCATGCCCTAGTACTAGCCTGTGATTATTTTCTGTGGAGGCTAAATCAGGGCTTCGCCATGTCAATGGGCCATTTTTAAATAATTATTTTCATTTCCCATGAAAATCTTAATTCCCAACAACATGCTGACATTAATTGGAGTTACCAAATTGCCCATAGGTGTGCATGTGTGGTTGAATGGTGTGTGAGTGTGCACTGCAATGGGTTGGTGCCCCATCCTGGGTTGTTCCCTGCCTTGCGCACTGCAATGGGTTGGTGACCCATCCTGGGTTGTTCCCTGCCTTGCGCACTGCAATGGGTTGGTGACCCATCCTGGGTTGTTCCCTGCCTTGCGCACTGCAATGGGTTGGTGCCCCATCCTGGGTTGTTCCCTGCCTTGCGCACTGCAATGGGTTGGTGACCCATCCTGGGTTGTTCCTTGCCTTGCGCCCATACCTTCCAGGACCCTGGATGAAAGCTACAATGGACTTGTTAGGTTTTACTTTCCAGGAAATACATGCAGAAATCAATAGAACCAGAGCATTTTCATGCTAAATTTAACCTAAATATTTATAAATTCTTCGAAAATTTTATCTGCAAAAAACTGTACATCTTTATAGATTTGAACATTTAAACATTGAAAATTATTATTATTTTAATAATCAGATGATCCAGTAAAATATGTCTGCTGGGCAAGTTTTGCCCAGGTCTGCCCTATAGTGTCTGCTGAATAGAGGTCAATTAGGCATATTGCTATCGGAGGTATTACAGATGAGGTTAGGAATATGAGACCTTGTGGTCTTCGGTAGATGATGAAGGAAGAGAATGTTCTTCGTTACCTTCACAGCCACTGCAATGCCAAATTAACCCGACCTTGGAGCTGACGTGTTTTTTTTTTATCAAATAAAGAAAATCAGTTACGCATCAAGATAATATTGTGGTCTTGGCGTGTAGGTTTTTGCCTGTAAGTAGACCCAATACGATTTCTGGTAGTTAATGAGCCTTACCTGTTAATTAGTAATTTTATTAGAACATACAATTGCATTTTATTCAGCTCGTATCTCAGGCCACCGACTTTTAACAGACGGAAAAAGTAAACCCGGATTCTTGCCACACAGATGAGTTGGGCATCATATTTTAATACCATTTTATTACACTTTGCGGCACACAAACTCAGATTTAATGAAGACGCTTTTCAAGTAAAGCATTCGCCGCGTAAGTTTTATTTCAGTTTACAAAAACTAACATACAGACAAACACTTAGGATACCAAACATATTCGTATAGGGACGCGGATCATATTTATGCAGCGACATCACCATAAAACGGATACACTTACATCTTAGAGACATTTCTGACAGTTAATATTTTATTTAGACGGTTTCACAAAGCAGTCGTACACCAAAACATACAATGTTTTTTTTTATTATTTACAACTCGCGGTACATCACGGAGTTGTCAAATGATACACCAAGTCGATGAACAAGTTAGAATTTAGTATACAAACGGCAGATTGATCTAATTTATAAATATCGTAAATTGTAGGTTAAACAGAATAGTTTCTGTCGAAGTTTGGCTAAAGGCAGAACTATGCAAAAGTGGGACACTTTTTGGTAAATGATTTAGAAAAATCTCATGAAAGCCATTTGCTCAAATGAATATTTTTCTGCCATTAGTCGCATGTCTCCTTAAAAAGATTTGTGTGGACAATTAAACAATCTGTGTAATATTTAAGAGTTATATGGAATAAAACATGGAGAGGTACCTCTCATTTCGTGATGAGCTTGTTCAGGTAAAGTGGGACGGTGTTTTGTTTTTGTTTTTTTTTTAGAGGCAATATATACTTTAAAGCAATATTTTATTTACCAAGAAAACAAACCATAAATAAATTCATTGTAAGATTTTGTTCATAAGATCCAGCTACTTCAAATAACTAATTGTTTGTTTGTTTTTTAACTTCATGAGTGTCTTGAAATCTCCATGAAACATTCCTTGGTATATTTTGCCGCCCTTTTGGTGGGAGGTTGTGGGGTTCCCTTCGTATTTTTACATGTAAATAACGTACATCAGGGGTACCCAACTCATCGATCGCGATTGACTGGTTCGCCATCAATGAAATACAGTATTATCCTTTTATCGTATCGCGATCTACTTAGAAACACTGGTCGATCACGATCGACGAGTTGGGTATCCCCGATCTACGTCATTTACATGTAAAAATGTGTCCCATTTTACCTGAAAAGTACTTTCTCACTTTTACTATCACCTTCAGCAAAAATGGGACAGCACTAAACACAAAAGCAAACAAACACATTTTTTCCAAAATGTGCTTTATTTTTAAAATAATCTCCGGCCTTTTTTTCTTTTCCAAAAGTACGACATCATAAACGATACCCAATTATATGCTTCTAGCAGCCGTATCTTTCTAAAGAGTTATTTCGTTTGTCGGTCCACTTGCCTGCACAGCGTGTCTTAAAATTCTGAACACAGCTGTCAAAAATAAGTCACACCAATGAAAATAGATGGTGAAGACCAAGTCCTGTTGTAGTATGATTTTAGCACTGTTTGTTTTCATTGGTTGTTGATTTTTTAAAGTAGCATTGGGCAAAGCTTAAATGTCCCACTTTATCCGATGTTCCAGTTTTGCTGAACCTATTTTCAGGTATTTGACCTCTGGAGTTTCCTAATTAAATGGCAGTCACGCTCTTCTTTATTTCCTATCGTAGTTTCATTATTATAAGTTCTTTGCAAAAATAAATATGACAAAATATTCAATTTAACAGGTTTAAATCGATCTTGTATCAGTTTCGGGATTTTTTTAAACCTTGTTGCAGTGTGCAGCTTATTGTACTAATCTAGCATGTCTTCCAAACGACAGTTTAGTTACCAGTTAAAATGAAGCTTAAATATATATACGAGGTTCCTGATATTTCAGCCAACAACTTACCTTCATATAGCTATTTGGATTTTAAGTTTTTGTAACCTTTTGATTCATAAGTACTGCGCAGACTTATCTGTTCTATATTTTGTCTTTGGTAACGTTTTCCTGTTAAAGTTCAATATCGTTATCTTGCTTCGCCACATGCGACTGGTTTGGCAATTCAAGTGACAAAGAGATTTCCTAGTCAAAGAAGGCATTTCATTCTAATGCCGTCTTATTTGATACTTTTATTTTTTTTAAATCTGCTAGTGTCCCTCTGATCAGAAAGAACAAAAAAGGTTAGAAAAAACAAAAGACTTAACCGCAATCTGAATGACAAAAATATGAGAAAATCGTTGGTCGTCATCTTTAGGTTTCATTTTGATTGCTTTATTCGTTGGCTTTTAATTTGGTTTACAAATGAAATATTTACATCTAAAATATATCCTTTCCTTATATCAAAATTGACCAAAATATAGACTTCTGCAATAATATTCAGTGATAAATAGCAGCTAAGTCCTCAATTTGTAATATTCTTAAATTGGCAGTCTGATTTGTAGGCATTTCAACCCAAAATATGTCCCCAACATTATTAGAATTAACAAGAATGCATCAGCCACTTCTCTTAAAAAAAATGAATTCATAGTTTTATACTGCCGCCACCACAATGCGCGATGTTCTACATCAACAATCCGATAAAGGCATCAAACACGACAAGTATGGCAAGTATCTGCATATGTTGCAAGCAAATTGCGTCGCCTTGACGTCAAGGAACGTCGTTTGACCTTTGTTGCTCTTGGCACAATACACATCACTGTACATATTTTATTTTTCCTCTTATATATGCATGTTTTTCTTTTTTTGAGTTAAATTTACGATCACAAACACGCCTGGATGCCAAACTCCCCCGGAGAGGCACATGTGAGGGTGGGAGAGGGTGAGAAACCTCGGCGGGCTCGTTCTGTCCAGCGCTGTGAGTATTCCAGACCTCTGGAATGCAGTTTAGACAGTAATGGGGGAATGCAACCAGAAGGGAAGCACCACGTAGTGGAGGAGGAAGAGCATTAAGCACTCATGGGGATCTATGTACTGTCGTTTGGAGTGACTATAATCTTAAAGGAGGAGATCTTACATTAATGTAAGCAGTGGTATTTACATTAATGCCAAGTTTTATTGTTTTTTCGTAATTTTTTTATTGTGGACTGTCTTCTATGAAAGTCTTTCATTATCCTCGCACAGAAAAGTACTTGTAAAGATTTTCCTCTCAAATCAAAGTCCCTACACTGAAAGCTAGTGCATCTTGTCCTATGCAGTCTGCGTCTTTAGGACGGGCTAACACGTGTAGCACCATTAATGTAGCCTAGCTGCCTTTTTTTACTTTCCTGGTGTAAATCGAGCTGGTAAGTTTGCAGTTTTTAAGCTTTTGTTTGGGGAGTGAGCTCTGGTTATTCCTCTGTTATAATCTGGGGGGGTGGCCTGTGTGTGTAACGTGTCTAATGAGTTTCTTTGCCTTTTGGGTAGCGGGAGCTTTGTGTCATTTTTTTTCCGCTAAAAACTCTTTGATAGGCACATTTCAACACTGTTATTCCGCCTAAGCATCTGATTTGTAGTAGGACCAGTGGTCTAGTGACCTTTTCAATCCAAGCAGCAAACGCTGGTGTCCTCCACATATTTCCCACTGCCTTGTCCATTTCTCCTGCCCCTCCCTTACTTGTAATCACAGTGCCGTCTTGTGCATTCGCTGTCGCTTTTCTAAAACGTGCCAGAAAATAAGAGCCGTCCTTGTGCCATATCTGTGTGTTATCATAATGGAAAAAGCAATATTGGCCAAAGAAGGAATTTTCCCACCAAACTGCCAAGGTGAATATGCATTTGAGAGACCGAAACTACTCCTCAGTATTGGATTTGATTTTTTTTCCAGAAATTGGACAGACAAATGTCTTTGGCTTGGCAACAAGCTCGTTTGATGTAGCTCTACAAAGGCCGATGGACTGAAACACTTTCCGACTTTAAGATGTTGGTGTTCTTAGACGTAGTTTCCAGTTCTGGCTTGGAATGCCTTTGGTGGTGATTACAATGAGTATGTGACTTTGACACTGGTGAGCCACAGTAGGCGCTCTCATACCTCTGAGAGGCCTACCTGTCGCTGTGCAGGCCTCAGTCTATGGGGTCCTGGCAATGGGCACAGCGCTCCATGTCCTCTGTGTAGTGCTCCACTTGGATGGTCGTGCTGTAGAAGCCAAACTTGGTTTGAAGGATCTCTGTGGCTTCCTTTAAGACGCTCTGAGGGTCTGCATTCTCTTCTGGAGAAGAAAACAAAAACAACACTGAAGAGATTGACCTGATAGGGAGGGAGAATTATCAGATGGCAGGAAGTCGACATGCTCAAACTGAACTGCACAGGAAATGACCAGTGCTGCCCACAGCTGATGGTCATGTCTCACCTATGGCCACATGCACAGACAGCAGAGTCTGTCCCAAGGTCAGAGCCCAGAGGTGTAGGCTGTGCATGGCCTTCACTGCCCTCAGTGACAACAGCACCTCCTTCACAGAGTTAAACTCCACCCCCTTTGGTGCTCCTGTATGGAGAAAGAGAAGGAAGAGTGACCATGGACCATGCATGCAAGTATATATGCAGGTCTTCATTTTGCTTATTCTAGGTACAGGCTAAAATAATTCAGTCTGGTCTCTCAATGCTAAAGTTGTTTATGATTTAAAAAGCCGAGGGAACAGATTGGCCTATATTGAAAGTCCTTAGAACTGTGAGTGGAGCCTGTAGTAAGATGTTCTGAATAAAAAACATAGTTAAATCAAAATCCAACTTTAAAGGATATGTTCAAAGAGATTAGGAATCATTATTTGAAGCATAAGTCAAAACAAGAGTGAAGACTCGGGTTTGAAGTATTGTGTGTGTTCAGGGGGGCAAGGAGGCTTGAGGCTGATGTGCTCCCTGCCAATGCTGAAACAAAACCGACGCCATTGGCCAAAAAAGTATGATGAGGGTCCTTCTGAAATGGCAGGGGCGTTACCTTCCATTAATATCCTGAAGACGTCCCTCAGTATCGTGATTGTGGTTCCCAGGACGAACACAGAGAACAGGAAGGTACAGATGGGATCTGCTATCTTGTATTCAGGCTGAGAGGATATAGAATTAACGTAATGCATCGATTCACTATAAAACAATCACAAACGCCGTACTTAATACTCCAGGTGCAATGACACACTATGGTTCTGAAATTAAGCCTTGGGCTTGGATCGGCTTTTTAGAGCAGGTTTGGCAGGAATGGCCATGAGTAGAACAGAATAAACGTGCCGAGAGATTAGTTCCTGGATTTGTGTTGTTACATAAGAACCGATCACTTAGAAACCTTCGTCAGCAAGTGCATACTGACCCGGAAGTAAATAATGGTGGCTGCCACCATAACTCCCACACTCTGCAGCAGGTCGCCCACTACGTGGATGAATGCAGCCTGCACGCTGGTGTTGCCGTGACCTCCCAGGAGGCCGTGGAAGTGGGAGTGGCCAACCGGGCTTGCACCTCCCTCTTCGATCTTGTGGTAGCCTGAGCCGTGGTTGTGGAAGGTGGTAGAATGGTGGAGAATATAGGCCATTCTGAGGGAGATGGGAGAAGGATGAAGGAGAAGACTGAGGAATCCGTACAGTTTCACACGAACATGACAGACGGACAAAGAAAATGATGTTTAAATGATGTTCATGTTGGTGTAAAACTATAAAATGATGTCCATTAATGTAATTATGTATGTTAGTGTAACCATTTCCATTCTCCTAAAGTCACCACAGAATTTGCAGTAACCATCCGGCACACCTCATATGGCTGATCAATACCTCACTGGCTTTTTTTTTTTGGTAATTTAAATAATGAATTAAGTGAGTCGGATGTGAAATGTAACAAATGCATGGGATGGCTGTGGTGCCCCTGAGGAGAGGTTTGGGAACTGAAGTGGTGTTTATCTAACCATCCAACAAGATATGAGTAACTGTCTGGAGAACAGAAGAAATTTTTGTTCTGTTTTTATTGGGTCGTTCTTAATTTGCGTATGTTCTAATGCTAGATCGTGATTTTGCTCTGAGCAGATATACCCTTTCTGCCCAGCTAGCTTTAAACACTTCCTTCACCTGCCTGAGACTGTGGAATGGTACTGTATTTGTATTTGACCATATCTGTAAATGATGGAGGATATACACTGTTAATTAGCGGTTTGCGGTCGATGTCACCATGCTTATGCAATTAGCAATTAAAGCAAAACCTCACAATAATGTGTGTTAATTTAAAAATAAACAGGGGCTCACATGATGTTAACCAGGACTGCACAGCCGGAGGTGATGAGCATCACGTGACCCTCAATCTCATAGTCGTTCCTGACGATGCGCTCGATGGCGAGGTACACCAGAACTCCTGTCACCACCCAGATGGACAGTACTGACACCAGGGCACCCAGGATTTCTGCAGAAAACAGGGAGTGACGTCCTCAGATCCATTGGAGGGGAGTCCAACACCTGGGGACTTGGGGCCTGGGGCAGAACCTCTCCCTACCATCACATCGTTTAGTGATCATCTCAGCGGTCGCCAGTGGTACCTACATTTCCATATCATACCTGGGGGGTGAGTGAGCCATGGGGATGCAGTGCAGGGACCTTGCTGTGTACTGAGCAATTTGAAGACCATGAGGGTTCAGAGATGATATATAAGATTATGCACTAATACGAGATAATATTTCAGCTACAATTGTGATGTCAGGAGCTGGTTATCTCCTGCTTAAATGGGCAGAAACAGTAGTGAAGCCCCATATGAGTGATCAGCATAAATAAATATTGCCTCCATGCACTGAATGAGCCATAAAAGATGTTTACTGTACAGAGGTTAATTATGTCTAAGCTGCTGATCACATGCTTCACGAAAAGAAGTTGTATATTTACGCTTTTCCAGTGTGTGCGGCAGGTTATTGACTACTAAAGTAATTAAGATTAATCAGCCCACTTAGTAGCACGACAGCAAGACTGGGGCTTGGGAAGTGGGCCAATCTTGGGGCACAAAATCGTCTTTTTAACAGGACTGGGGGGGGGTGTGGTTTGGACTAAGCTGGCTTGCGTGGCTCACCTGACCGGTGCCACCCGAAATTCATGACCTTGGTGGGAGGCCTGGAGGAGATCCACAAGGAGAAGAGGCTGACCATCATGCTGCCAAAATCGGTGAGCAGATGAGCTGCATCGGTCATGATGGCCAAACTGTGGGCCAGGTAGCCACCTGTGATGGTGAGAGATGCATCCCGGCTAGACCCACAGAAACTACAGTATTACATTATGAGAATTAGCATACTAATAAACAGTATTGCACAATAAGTTATAATAATTATGACACAAAGCACAAACAGGGTAACAATGTCCAGTACAACACAAGTGCAGACAGGATAGACAATATTCAGGACAGATGGTTCCGCGATGTGAGAGTTGGTTCAATAATTTCAGAGCCTCTATGGAAGGTGTTCAGGTAGATTGGGATTCGAAATCAGCCCTGGACTTTTGCCCAGACGGGCCCCCTACACATACATACCCGCGATAACATTTGGCTATTGGGGGGGGGGGTTCCCAATAAAAAAAATTGTTAGCTAAGGGTGCTGGACATTTAGCCAGCCCAGTATTTTGAGTAGTTTTAGTTGTGAGAGCTGAGGTAACATTTCCCAATAACAGATTTTCAAAAGAGACCAGAATGACTTAGTTCACTTCAGTTCGTGCTGACGGCCCACTGCTCAGGCATCCCCCCCCCCCCATATGCCCACTCAGAGGGACACTCTGTTCCCCTATAATTTGTAAGCTGTTGTTTCTTCTTGGAATTTAAATGACATCGTTAGCCACTATCCCACTGAAGTTCAGGAACCTAGTTCCTGGTTCCAAGTCCCTGGGCTGTAGTTCCTGGCCACTTTTGTGTGTCGCTTTTCCATCGCGCAACACAAGCTTTATGCTTAATAAGCATAGGAGACACAAAAAAAGCTTGTACATTAAACTTCATATAACTCCACAAAACTAAACTCCCACCCCAAAACGATGGAGGAATATGTTTTTTTTAGTTCTTTGTTAGTTCCTGGGTGGGTTAGTGTCACAGTCCAAAAATAGGGGACAAATTGTGTCCTGTATTGGTTCAGAATGGGACACAGCGTTTTATTTATATGGCCCGCAACATGTATATAATTCATTATTTCATTAGGCCAGCAGATCGATCTTTTGTTATCCAGAGAATAAAAATGATAAGCTCTGGCAAGTTTCACTGGAGGCAACCGGCAACATTAGACAAAGATACCTCGGTTATCAGTTGAATTTTCTGATGCAGAAATATGGAAACGCAAGCAAAAAAATGTATTAATGCATTTAATCTAATTGGCACAAAAATAATTCCATCTGCTCAATTTTTGTTCCACTACTTCTATCTCGGTTTCACGCATTTCTGCATAGTTTTTGGATTAGTTCAAGTTATCTTAGGTCAGCGTTCATGGTTTGACTTCTGAGATTCAGATCGAGCTCTAGGAAATTTTTTTCGAACTGGTTTGTTTGACTTTTAAGAAATTCGAGTTCTAATGAGTTCGAGAACTGAGTTACCACTGTATATATGGAATTATGAAATATAGGGATCTCAGTCCTGCTCTAGATTTACAAATCCTCGGCCTGTCTCCTTTCTTATGATTACCAGAGAAATCTCCTCAATGCTGGAGACCAGGCAGTGTAGACATCTCGCAGCGACATTGAGCTCCCATGTAATCCTTACCTATCACCTCCCCAATCATGAAGACCAGACAGACAAAAGAAGCGATGTACAGCTTCTTACGAGCCAGAAGCTTCTCCGGGGTTTGGCCGGCCGAGGCCCTATTGCCGTGGCAGTGGGTGCCGACGGGTTGTTTGAGCTCGATGGCCCCTGGTACATCCCCGTTCTCAAACGGGAAGCTGGGGTATCCTTGCTTGGACCCTGGGAAGGAGCTGGAAACAGTGAAGTAGATTGAAATCCATTGTTTCTACTAACAGTGAGAAGTGCAAAGTATCACACTTCATTCGCCTTGTAGAAGATTAAGTCACAGTGTCTGTAAGTGTATATTCTTGCTATTATTTAGACTTCTTGAATATTTTAAGCTAGGACATAGATTCAGTTCAGTATGGCAAACAGACTTAGTGATCATCAGCTCTGAGATCCATTACCCTGTGCTTTGGTCCCCCCCCCCCCCCTTGCTGCCTTTAACAGATAGCAGCCAAGTCCCCAGAGATCAGGACTTCATTACAGCATTGTCCTCTTTTCACGCCACATACACTGATCCCAGATCGCATTTAAAAATTCAATCATCACAGCAAACAAAGAGTGTGCTGACTGCCTTGCTCCCCCCCCCCCCTCAAGAGGAGAAGTGATGATGGGGCTAATGAGCTGGAAAAGCCTAATCATGACTTACAGGACCTAGCCTCCCCCCCCAACTACCCACCTGGGGACATAACAGCGTCAAGAGGAGCTGGCCAAGCGGAAAAGAGAGTCTGTTTAATCACTCTGCCAGAGACATGAGGTGTGATTGCCTTCCTGATGTGTGTGCAGGGGAGATCCCAGAATTAGCCGCACACATGCATGCATATAATGTAATAATGTAATAATGTAATAATGTAATAATGTAAACCACGGCACAGATGAGCCCCACAGAGCTAATACTGCTTCACAGAAATTTTACTCCTATTAACTGATTAAATTTCATCCAAAAGTTTTAGAAGGTTTTCAGAATGAGTAATTCATCTTTAGAAACCTTTTTTTTCTTTTAGGTAGCGTTCACATATTCCAAAATTTATGGTGAATATCTAGTTAATTGTGATTTCTTAGGCACAGATACAATCGTATAATGATACACTTATTGAATTTTAATTAGCTCACAAATTTGATAACATCTCAGACAATCTACCGTCTTTCAGTCAAATATTTGCTAATTGCTTCCATAATTTCAATATAACAGATCAAAAATTTGCAGACTCCATTGACCTGCCTAAAGACACTTACTACACGGCTTTAAAGACCTGCCTATAGACACTTACTACACACCTTTAAAGACCTGCCTATAGACACTTACTACACGCCTTTAAAGACCTGCCTATAGACACTTACTACACACCTTTAAAGACCTGCCTATAGACACTTACTACACGCCTTTAAAGACCTGCTCCCTTGCACACTTAATGCTTTTTCTTTCCTCAGTGGTCACTTGATGGAAGGTGGATGCAGGACTGGAGCGCCGGCCCTGTTAGATGTACACGGCCATTTGACAGTTGTGTTTAGGTGGAATACATTATCTTTAACACTGGTAGCTTAATTTAGGATGTGTGTTATATCTAATGTTTACTTTCATCTATTCATTAGCACTCAATTTTAAGCAATGTTTTTCTTACTTTTCACAATATGCAAATTTCACGATCAGTGCCATTGATAAAAATAACGCTTCAAGAAATTCTGTACAATTTAAATGATCAAACAATGGAGCTGATCTAGGCCTCACTTGCACTATGACTCGCACAGAGTCACTCTGGTCGCCTCTCCCACACAGTCATCTGAGCTCCTCCCTGTATCTCTGGTCACTGCAGTGCACTGCTTACTCATTGAACAGCCTGGGAACCAGGCAGTGTTTGTGAAGTTGTAACTTTCCATACACTACAGTATAATCTATTTCTTGCTGCTTGTTTTCCACTAGAGTAACTGTGATAGAGTACCCATGTTTAGAAGTAGCACCTTGAAAATATCCAGCACAGCCTTCCAATTAATGCCTACAACAATGTGGATATGTCCTTGGGGACTGTCTGCCTCATTCTCAGCTGTAACAGTTATTTGCTAAACTGAGCAAATTAGCCTCTGTCTCACACTGATGGAGAAACGGATGAAACAAGAGAATTCTGTGCACTGGAGGGAAAGAATCTGCTCACAAATGCTGAATAATAACAGGGTCAGACTATGAAAAAGTCAATTATTAAAAACTCAGCATTTCACTGAGGTTATTTCAGTTACATTCACCGTCAATGGGTAGCACCCATGTTTTAGTTGAGTGTGTGGTCAGGTCATATTAAACCTGCAATGCAATGGAGGCTCCCATAATCTGAACTGGGCAAAGTAATTTTATATCTGTCAGTTCCCCTGTGTCCTGCATCATATCAAGTAGGAACAGTACGAAACAGTTATTAAAATTCAGTCAAAAAAAACTTTGGAACTTCTGGTAAAAGAATTGAAACGTTTTGCTCTGCAGCTGGAATATATCAGATATATTTTATAATATATTTTATTATATATTTATTATATATGGAGCCTTGGAGGCTCATAGCTTCCGGCTGGGGGTGTGAAGTCCAGCCCCTCTCCGTGTGTGGGTGGAGTTTGCAGTTTATCCATAAATAAAAATTCCTAATACTCCACTTTCCTCCCTCAGTCCAGAGACTTACAGGGGGGCTAACTGACAGTTGCCCATAAGAGCATATATTCCCTGTGATGGACTGGCACCATTCTGTCTGACAGAGTAAGTGGTTGGAATATGGATGGGTTTTAGAGCACAGGCAGAGCGGTGAAAGTTACAGCACAGAGTGGACACAGTATTTTAGCGATTGTGTTGTGATGGTGTGAGATCAGTCAAACACAGCGCATGAACGGACATGCCAGATGCTGTCACAGTGAGTCATGACAGGAATCACACAGAAACTTTGTAGATTTTCCTGTAGGACACCTCTGGGGGGCTGATTTGAGGCATTTCTGTCTTCCAGTAATTGTTCCTGGGTCTACAGCATTCAGCTACAGGCTCTGGAGATCATAGATGGAATATGGGTCCATTTTACATCTTTTAAATACTGATGTCCGATGATGGTAGAAGGGGACATAAATCAGATTCAGCTGCAGGGGCGTCAGAAGCATTTTGAATGTGGGGAGGGACACACTGGAAAGCAGTGCTGGGTGAACTAATATTTTATGTTAAATGGGGAGGGGTCCAAATGAATAATTTCAGATTTAATGACGGCGACGCCCATGTTCAGCTGAGACGTTTTGTTGGAATATGCTGGTTATGTTACACTGGTTACTGAAGCACTTCTCAGTCCTCGTAACCCCCCCCCCCGGCTCTCACCAAAATGTTTTCATTCCAACCCTACCTTAATCAGGCTTATACAGTCCTCAATAGGCTAATAATGAATGTGGCAGGTTGAAAGCCATGTGGGTTGAATGAAAACAGGCAGGAGCAGGATTGTCAACTATTGGATTAGTGAATCCAGTGTCTCTCATAAACTTGCTTTATAGCTATTGCATGTCAATGGACAAAAAAGTGGGGCTGGTCAATACATGTGCCCCACTAAAGAGGTAAGGGAACATGTCTCCCAGTAAAGAGGTAAGGGAACATGTCTCCCAGTAATTTAAAGATGCTTCCTCAACCTCAGCTAGCAGTCCAGGTGCTTCCTTTGATAGCATTAATGAGGTTCTGGGGCAATTGTTTCAAGAACAAGGCCCTGGACGTGTTTATTGTCTACTCTCTACATTTCACAGTGGACAGCCTGTTTGTAAAGCTCTGCTTCCCATATGTGCAAAGCCCAAACTGGTCGACATTCAATGTCGGTGGCTTGCTGAGGGCTTTCTAAGGGCTGCTCCGTCAATAAACCATCGAGTTAGCTGATGATAAGACCGTGACCCCAAAGAAATGAGTTCATGAGGGGAGGCCATCGAGACGGCAAGTAAAAGGGTGTCCACTGGACGGCAAGACACAGTCACACCATGGAAGTTCACAGCCCAAGAATGCTCAGATGGACCCCAAAATGTGCATTCAATACTCTGGACTGGATTGGAGCTAGAATTTCCCAATTTCAATGGAGTGTTGAAGTCTGCAAGGGGTAGCCAAGTTAAATGGGTTACAGGACGTGTTTGTGAATTACAGCGGACATGAACTCTTATCTTTTATAAATGGAATAATTTCACAATAATCAGACTCCCGGAAGGTTTTTCTAGCCGTAACATAAATTATAAATTAATTTTGGCTTTCAAAAATGGTGACTTTTATACATCATACAATGAAATCATATTAGCGTGTTGGAGTGTGATACAGCTTTGTTTCTGAGAATGAGAGAAGTCTAACGTATCTTTCAGGGTATAATGGTGCAATGAACATATATTTATATTTAACAATTATTACATGCATGCTGTCCCAGCACAGGCTTAGTTCATCAGATTAGACCCTTTTCTACAGGGTACAACATCACAGTTTGTATGTGTTGTCCGCTGACCCATTTTACTGTGGTTTTTTATATTTATATTACAATGGTTGCCAGACAGATTTACAGCTGTATTCTGCTGAACTTGCAGTTGGCAGGTAACAGATGACCGCACTGGAAACCCTACCTTGGCATAAACGTATACCTGACAGATGGTTCACTGGTATATCTGTTCCGTCGGTCGTCAATCAGATTTTATGTGATTTCGCGAATTCTTGCAAGCAGGTTGTGGCAAAGCGTATGACTAATTTACGGGCATCTTCCGTGATTTACGGAGGTACTACTGGGCTCAAAATAAATTTCCCAAAAAAGGAGTTACGGCTACGGTTAAACGATTGGGCTGTTTTGATATACAATTTGCGCCCTTTTAAGAGGGAAAATGGCATTGTTGTTTGGACGCTGGATTTGGACCCGCAGTGCTGGAGATAAAATTTACCGATAGATTCCAAATAGGCCTAATAATAATAATAATAATAATAATAATAATATAATGACCATCGTTGTTGTTATCATCATCACTATTAAATAAGTAAATAAAGAAACGATTCGTTATAGGTGTCTGATGAGAAATTTATCAATAAACTATACGATACTGGTATCTGTTATAATGGCGCTGCGGACTGCTGGATATGATTGATAACGCAAGTAGGAGAGTCTGGTTTAATGCTTTAGGGAAGTCGTTGTTCAACACTACAACGGTCATTTTGCGAATTTTCTGGGTTTGAACATGAGATGCTTGATTTTTACCTATTTTGTCAGTAGGCCTATATAGCCAAAAAAAACTGGCACTCATCTAGAAAAGTGAACTTTTGTGATAACGAAATATCCTGCATTACTGTGCATATGCACAATAATATACTGTAGTACTATTACTATAATACTGTAGTATTTTTTCCTATTTTTTGCCGTCAAAAATGTATTTTTTGTAATAGCTAAACGTAATAACGTAATAACATTTCGGATTTCGTTGTGTAGAGCAATACGGCAATTCGCTGTAAGGACGTGCTATACGTTAAATTAGTGTAATAAAAATACATTGATCCCGACAGATCGGTAGCTTGAAAATTATACTGATTGCGATGTAATATAGCTGTATGCAACTCCATGGTCTTGTGCGAAGTAGTATTTCATGTTTTTGGTGTATTGCTGTCCCGAGGTCCTTAAATTGTCTAAACCAATTACAGACCTTAAGATTCAGAAAATAGGCTACCACAAAACATTTTTTAAATCAATCATTTTTAAATGAAATGTTTCGAATTATGCCTAAATCAATGCCAGTGATTTAATTTGGAAATTATTTGCTCAAAAAAACAAAAACAAACTCAAAACTCCTAGAGATAGAAACTTAAGCTTAGATTTTTCTGATTTCTTTTGAAGGGTATAGCGTACATAACTGCCATACGTGTAACGTACGGTTACTCAGCTACAACACAGGCCGCAGGGGAAATACATGGAAAAAAATCTCGGCAAGATAAGAGCTATTAAGGAGATATTCATGAAATACGGGAGAAACTTTTGTACAATAAAGGACATAAATAATAAAAATAACATAGTAGGCTACTTTATATAAATGATCAAATTCTTGTTTAACAGAAACGTGCGGTTGCTATTAATTAGCTACAACATGTGGATGTATAATATATAATTTAGTTGTATTGTATAGGTATTTTATATTTTCCGTATTCTTCAATGTCATTGCTGTTGTCGCTGCAGTGCTACAGAAGAGTTTTCATTACGTAAATTGAATTTGCGGTGCTGTTTGTATGTGGATTTCTTGTCATTTTGCGAAAAACATATGATGAACATAAAGAAAAAAAAAATCTATTTTCAAACGCGTAGAAGTCGCACATTTCTCTTTTTATTCTTTCCCTTACTATTTAAATTGTAATGCGTAATGTTAAAACTGTTATGTATGGTTTCTCTAGGAGAATTTTTCTTTCTTATATTTAATATGTCACGATATTGTATTTGTTGGTAGGCCGACTTACAGACTACTGGCCACTTAGCTAACGCTTCATAAACCGCATTATTTTCTGTTTAAACGGCTTACTGAAATATTTTGCAATAAATGCGTATGAAGTGCATGTTTTGGAAAAAAAAAAGATTTCGAAAAAAACTTTGCATGTAACCCTTCTCTGTTGTGCAATCGTCACAAGATGCCTGGTAACGAGAGATGGTGGGTTTATTTAAACATATTAGCGTTCGGCAGGCACCCGGGGCCATCCATCTAATGCTGTCCTAAATTAAGCCAGGCGTGGAAATGAATTTGCTCATTCACATAAAACATTTCACACACTGCCTAGTTATTGGCATCAGGCGCATAGAACGTCAGGGATTTCTAAGAATATGACGACCTGACTGAAAGCGGTATTCAGATATGCAATATAATGAAATCTTACATGAAATGGCCAATAATTAAATGGATTTCAGGAGAGAGCACGATATCCGCATTGGGGGCAAGACGGCTATTCGACTAGGCAAAAACATTACGATATCGGTACAATATATGACTGACAATTAAATTTTTAGGACACATTTACAAACAATAATAATAATAATAATTATTATTATTATTATTATTATTATTATTATTATTAGTAGTAGTAGTAGTAGTAGTAGTAGTAGTAGTAGTAGTAATAATAATAATAATAATAATAATAATTTGGATTTCATAAAGCAGTGGGCATAGTCTGCGAGTAAAAATTCTACGTTCCCTAGCAATTTTTTGTGATTCATTGATTTGTCTACAAAGCCCTTAAATCAAACACCTGCAATAAACACCAAACGCTGAATATGTTCATTTTCTACTTAAGTAATGAAAAGGAATACCTTTCATTAGTAATATAGCAGACCTTGTTAAATTGGACTATTTAATTGGGCAATAAATATAAATAATTGAGAATCTGGCTAAATTAATAAAAATTACCAGTTAACCATTAAGCAGTTTGTCATGTGTTGGTTTTTATATAATTTAAAGCTCTCCTAAGTATTCCAGCATATCTCTGTAGTGCAGACATGCAGTCGCATGAATAATCAAAATTCAACAGTTGAGTTCTAAATTCCAAATTTGTTGATTAGATTAAATACAACAAGAAAACCAATTAAAATGACAGATAATGCATCGTGAAACCTACCTTTTCAGTTTCAGAGAATACATTTTCGCATTTTTCTCGTTAATAAGATGAGATTTCTCAGAATTCACAGTGCTGTCCATGACCACGCAGCCTGTTTATAGGAACTGAGAGGTAAATAACTATTGATATGTACAAAACGTATTGTGTTTCACAAGAAGAGAAATGTATTTTTATATTAGATAATACATAGTCGTACAAGCCATCCCAGTTCACGAAAAAATATATCCTTTACAGAAGTATGCTTCAGGGTAAAACGGATAAAAGAGACACCGTCTCAGCTACTCCCCTGCTGTATTTTGGAGAACGAAAGAACTTGAATGAGTGAACGGGTTTTGATGCAGCTGCAAATTACAGCAGTCTTTTTAAAGGTGGCATGTCTTAAAACGTCCTCCGACCAAAAAAGCGTTACATTTACGGTATATCCCTTTAATGAAGTGCAAGGCACCCAAATATTATCATTCACGTCCTGAATGGACTAAGTAGACTGCTCTCCACTTCTTACAGTTCCATGTAGGCTACGCATCACACCTATGGATTCATATTAAGTGAATCACATAGTTAGGTAGGTATTCTGATTTTTTTTTCTCCATTGTACTCAACAAAACTACACTTACACTTATACTGTCCTGCATAGTTGTAAAATATTCCAAAGAAAATAAAAATTAACATAAGATAAAAAAAATTATTTTCCTTCAGGAAAAAGCATCTATTCCTGCCTACACGGAATAATACAAGAGTGAACATGTTAGGTTTTAGCCACTAATCCGAGGGAAAACGTTTTACACAAGTCCCTGTATTTTCCAAATCCAATAGAGCAATATGTGATTTCGTTTACATTGTTGTTTGGCTCCTAATAAAAACCCATAATATTTCAGGTTGGCTAATAAATAGCGCCGTTCCGTTGTGAACTATATTAACCAGAATGCACTGCGGTGCGCGGATCAGACGCACGCTTGTTGGTACGTGTTTTCGCGGTAAAGGACCAAGAGATTGAAAGATGGCAGTGAGTATAAGCGAAGTGGAAGCTGAGATGCAACAAAGGGAAGAAGGGGAGGAAGATGATCGTTCAGTAACCAGGTCTTTCAGGTAATATGCGACGGTGCATGTGAGTGCATCCCATAACGTCTGAGATGATTTTGCCGCCCAGTGATGCAGGACATTTTTGTGTCTAGGTGACGACACGTAGCTATGCAGCTAGTTAGCCTGCCAGCCGGGCAATAAGCCGTTAAACATTATTAAAAGAAGGCAATGCATTTTGTTGTATTTTTCAATGTAGATCACATTTGTATAGTAATAAACGTTGGGTAAGGATATATGTTAGTTTTATAGTATAGTTTCTCAGTGGTGTGTGAGATCACTTATGGCAATAAGTGTCGTTTTGGGGCACCGTTTCTGTCTTAAAATGAGGATTTATTCAGTTAGACGATTGTACTAAATGGGTGGATAGATATTTTGACATCACTGTCCAATATTCATGGAAAAAAGCGTGGTAGTTTTGCTGTTGCTGACGCTCTGGCGACGTGGCTATTTGCAGTAGGTAAATGACCAAGGTAGTATTTTATTTCTGTAGTTAATTATAGTTTTAATAGTACCTAAATGTGTCTTGAATTCAGAATTGTATGTTACGCCTTGTAGTTTCCTGGTACAGTCCAATGCGACTGAGGGTTTGTTAATCTTGTAATATTAATCTAATCTCCAAAAACTACATTTGCACGTGTGTGGTTTTCCGCGCTTGTTACGTTGCGGGTTTTTATAGTCAACAGAAACTGAAATGTTTCACTGTCTTTCTGTGAGATGTAGAGTGCTGGATTTGTGTAATTTGAATGCTGGATATTTTTTTGAGTCTGGATAGATTTCTGTATGTTTTTTTTTCTTTCGGTGAGATGAGGGTATAATGGAAATACACTGGTGCTTAACTTTGTGTCTGCAACCAAGTGATGATAGCCTTACTCACGTGAGTGGCAGCCCTGGTCTGGGTGGCCGTGTGTTTTCCTGGATGGAGCTGAAAGGTTTGCTCCCGTCCCTCAGACACACGGACAGGCAACTCTGTGGGCCGCTACATTTGAGGGCCTTTCGAGCATGAGGGTCTCTCCCTGTCAGCTGGCCATAGGACAGACTTCGTAATACTCTCCATCTCCCAGGGTTCCCCAGGGCAGCCGTGAGCTTATAAGGCATGTCTGATGGCTTTTTGTGAGTGACGTCAGCAATTTATGTGTGAAGGATTAATGTGGGCTGAAAATGCTGGCTTCCTGTTCCTGTTTTCCCGCTTCTCCATTATACTCCAGTGGCAGTGGAGAGGATTCCTTGGATAGCCTCCTGAACCATCAATGTCCCCTCACTCCCTCGTTGTCACCACGGAAACGCTCAACTGGCCAGAGCAAGACAGAGCCTCCCCTGTTGAGGACCAATAAGAGGACCATCTACACTGCAGGGCGCCCCCCCTGGTACAATGTTACAGGAACCACCTTTAAGGAGGCCTTTGTCATTGGTACGACCCTGGTTTTTATTTATTTTTTAATCATTACTGAGAGGCCTTGGGGTGTTAACTCACAGGCCACACTATGGATAGAATGCATGAAATAAGCCTGATGCCTCTTTACGTTCCCTGAATGTTCTTACAACGTTGTGTAGCTCCTGCTCCAGTACTGCCTACACTTTGCCACCTGGCCATTCACTGGAAGCTCAGCCTCGCTGCACTCATGCCTATTCGGCTCCTTGACGGCATGTATGTTTGTGATGTGCATTTGCCTCGCTTGTATGTCGCTTTGGACAAATGTGTGCTAAATATTAAAGATGTAAATGAAATCTTTGGGAAATTATGGGAGGGTAGGTTAATTATTTACCCTACATGACCTACAAAGCCATTTATGCAACTATATACAGATTTATTGAAGCCATTGTAGGAGAACCTTCTTAAGAGCACAATAGTAGTACCCCTGGTCTTTACCCTTCGTTATGTCCTGCATTCCAGTATAAATGGACTTTCATTAGTGTTCATAATGCGGGTATTCCGTTCTATTGGCGCCATGTTAAAGTTGCCCCATGTCTCCCCCTTGTGGTAGAGCGAGGTACTTGCCGCTGACTAGCGGCAGGACAGTGGGGCTCTGTCCCGGCAAGCCTGTGAACACAGTTATGGGAACCCAGATCTCAGTGATCACTCATTAGTATGCAACCAGTTATTTTCGAAGGGCTTGCCTGGCGGGTCGCAGTTTCACACTTGGTTGTGCGGTGGTTTGATTATACCCGTAAAAAGACCCTCCCTCTGCGGTCTTCCTCTGCATGACTGAGGGAAATGGGCAACAAATCCACTGGAGTGGAATAATCAGCCTGTATGAAAGGTCAGAAACAAGGAGAAGTGGGAAGTGTGTGTGGGAGGGGCTCACTTAGGAGGAGAATGCGGACATCTCGTGTACGGTCGTATTGCAGTCGGCACTGACTGGTTCCCACTGGTTTGGGGAAGACCTATCATGGCAGATGATATTTGGCATTGTTTAGAATATTGTTACGCTGCATGTTTTTACACAGTCGTCACATTTTAATCTCTAAGTTTGTTGTATCGCTTACATTTTATATGTTTCGTGAAATGTGCTGTTCTGTTCGGTTCTGAGGCATGGGTCACGTTTTGTGGGTGTGAATCTTCTGCTTTGTCTCCGGTCATTACTGCCAGTTTTCTTCTGTTTGCGACGCTTGGTCTCTCGCTATTTTTCGAGTCGTATTGAGTGGACGTTTGTGGGTTGGTTGGGTGGCGTGACGCAGAGGTGACGCAAGGTCGCTGTGCGTCTGTCCTCGTGTTTCACAGGGCTGTGTGGTGGTAGCGCTTCTGGGAAAACCACCGTGGCCAACAAGATCATCGAGGCGCTGGACGTTCCCTGGGTGGTGCTGCTGTCCATGGAGTCCTTCTACAAGGTGAGCTGGCATACGGCCACGATACCCACCCATAGTGCCCGCCAGGTGCCACTTTTCTGGTAGACGTGTGTAGGCAACTTCAGACAACGTTAAACAACAAGAGAGTGAACAAGCAGTATCTGTAACCCTTCTGATGTTGCGTGCGTTTGATGTGGAGCCCCATCATGCAGACGACGGCACGTTCAAAAGGCACCTCGACTTTCCTCCTGCTGCCCCTCTGCTCCTCTAGGTCTTCACCAAAGAGGAGCAGGAGCTGGCGGCCAGGAGTGAGTACAACTTCGACCACCCGGATGCCTTTGACTTTGAGCTGCTGGTGAGCGTGTTGAGGAAGCTCAAGAAGGGGAAGAGCGTCAAAGTGCCCGTGTACGACTTCACCTCCCACAGTCGGCGGAAGGAGTGGGTGAGATATCGCGTGGAGCCAGAGCATGATGGGAAATGACCTCTGACCTCCCTGAAAGAAATCTACCCTTGAAAACTGCTTCATCTCTTCGTGCTCTTGGGCCTAATCTCCAGAGCAGAGTGCTGTGCAGCACAGGGCTACCTCAAGGAACCCTGCGGTCCAGGAAGCTAGTTTTTTTTTTTGTTTTTTGCTTTCATTGGTCATTTAATTATGGGGTGGGTTTGTCTTCTTGCTCTGGAAATTCTTTGATGGCTGTGGGCTCTTTAGGCATTGAACTTACCCTTCTGTTGGCAGTTGCAGCACAGGAAGGTTAATTTAGTTGCTGAGCTAATGAGATAGATAAATGCAGACGGTGAATGAAGACCATGACAAACCACGATGGGTGTGAGGCTTTTAAAAGCTGAGCACGGTGTGGGTTTTGGAGTGAGGGACTTGTGACCTGGTGAAATCCGTGGTGGCGGCAGCACGGGGGACACCGCCGTCCGCGCCGATCCTTGGGGCTGCCCGTTCTCCTGGGACAGAAGGCAATTTCACGCCTGAAGGACATGGAGCTTTTCAGCCTGAAACTCAATGTGCTTCTTACCCGTGGCTTAGTAATTATGGTGGAGCTGAAACAAAAGCCCACTTGCCGTTCAGTTGTGTGTTTTCGGTGTGCTGCATGTGCTGGGGTTGTGAGTTCCAGTCCTCGAAGAAGCCTCCATAAATATTTAGTTTTTTTTGCTTATCTCTGTAGCTTCTTGGTTTCCCTACTGTTGTGTTTGGGTTCTCATTAATGACCTCTGTCTTTTGCAGAAGACCGTCTATGGGGCCAATGTCGTCATCTTCGAAGGGATCTTGGCATTTGCCAACAAGGAGCTGCTAAAGGTACAAGTGTCTCTGAAGTCTGGCATGCATTGGCTTCCTTGACCTGTAGGGGGTGCTTGTGAGTTTCAACATTGTCATCAATCACAATGATAGTCCTGTTTTGGAATGGTACTTATCGTTGGCTGGTAATCAGTGTCCTGCTGGGGTTTTGTGGAATGTTCTCCGCCCCCCTCGATGACATAAATCGGTAAATAAAAATGGTGTTTATGGGCTCCACGATGCCACATCATAATTGTATGGTGCATTCACAATAATCTCCAGGGCTTTAGATGATGGGTGTAAACTGTACAGACATTTACTTACAGCCACGATTTGCTAAGCAGATTAGTAGTATGCCTAAAATATTAATGACAGGCATATTGTGATCCCTAAAAGTTAATCTGTAGAAATTGTGTGTGTGTGTGTGTGTGTGTGCACGTGCGTGCGTGCGATTCATGGGGCCACTACTGAACATCGTCTTCTGGGTTTTCGGATTTTTAAACTTCCATTCTCACCTTTCTGTGCTCTTCACGGTGAGCTCTGACTGGTCGGCGGCGCAGTGCGGCCGGTTTAATCCTGTGCCATGGTTTCTGGTCCGGTGTCTTGCCGCCTGTCCTCTCACTCTCTGTAAATATTTGCCCTGGCTTCCCAAGGTTGTTAACTTGAAGTTGTGACGACTTGTTTGCTGAAGGCGGCTGTTTGGACAGGATGCAGTCCAGGCGTTACATTCAGATGCTTTGACTTAGACCTAATTAGTCCATTCTTATTTGTTCAT